TTTGAGACGGAGTTTCGCTCTTGTTACCCAGGCAGGAGTGCAATGGCCCGATCTCAGCTCACCGCAACCTCCGCCTCCTGGGTTCAGGCAATTCTCCTGCCTCAGCCTCCCGAGTAGCTGGGACTACAGGCGCGCACCACCATGCCCAGCTAATTTTTGTATTTTTAGTAGAGACAGGGTTTCACCATGTTGACCAGGGTGGTCTCAATCTCTTGACTTCTTGATCCACCCGCCTCGGTCTCCCAAAGTGCTGGGATTATAGGAGTGAGCCACCGCACCCAGCCCTAACTCATCCTTGAATCCCCAGTACTTAGTACAATATCTGGTCATTAATAACGGGTACTTAATAAACGCATGTTGCAGAAATGAATAAACAAATGAGTTTGTAACCAACTAACTGCTAAGAACTCACCCCAATCTTACACAATTACCAGGCTCCACTGAATGAACAGATTGCTTCCCACTTAATTTTTTTTTTCTCTGTACTTGAAATACGTACAGTCTTTATTCACACATGGAATCTATTCTCAGGTAATACTGACTTCATGGTGCTGTTCCACATGAGATCAGCATATTTGTATGTGAAGGAAAGGGTATATTCAATCACTATGATATTTTATGAGCCTGGTAATAATAGATATGTTTAAACATTCATATGCTTGATTGATCCTTCTTAACCACACGTTTGGCTCAGCTGTTTTGCTAGCATTTTACTTTAGAGCCTTTTTAATGCAGTTATTATTTTTTTCCTTTATCATAGGAATAAAGAAGTTTTAACAAATACCCCTAAGGTTAAAATAATGCATAATACTTTAAAAATGTGTGAGCTCTGGTGATTGTCTCAAGATGTTAATAACTTAAGTTTCTGCTGAAATAATTTTGTTTTGAACTTCTTCCAGTAGACTCCTTCCTTCTCACTTTCAGAAAATTTACCCTTTGAAAGCCTGAATAGAAAAAAATAGTTTTCAGATTAACAAAACTGCTTTATGACATAATGTGTAGTTCTCCAGTTTAGTTTTGTTATGATTTGCTAGCAAAGAAGTTTAGGCTCTGTTCATCTCCTAAATACCTTTATATTGTTAAAGCTTCCTGAGCCAAGTTAAATGAAATAAGGAAGCCTAAAATAGGTCAAATTTGCATTCTGATTATTTGCAACAGTTTCTAATCCCACAAAGTATTTTTTTCCTTCATGCTTAAGGTAAGGATTACCTACCAGTTTTCCCCCCAGTATATCTATAAGCATTTTTTTGTCCAAGAAGGAATATACTATATAATTTAGCTATTCATTTATGCAAATGATAGTAAACAGACTTATAAAGACAGATAATAAACAGCAAATGAGGTTATTTTGTTTCACGCTTTATGTTGTCGGAGTTCTGAGCATGGTTTAGTGTTTTCTATTCATGACTTTATATTACCAAATTACTCCCTGATGGCGTCTCAGATGTGCTTTTGTCTGCAAATGAGAAGGAATAAAATACCAGGACATTAACGTTAAATTACAATCGTTAATGGCGTAAATACGAAAATAATTACTGCATCATACCATCAATTGTTATGTGTTCATTACTGAAGTTCTTGTAAAGCCTTCATTTTCTTGTTACAATTATTTTTTCCTTTATTTTTGTCTGGCTATTTTATAGCCCTGACAGTACTTTAGCAACATTCAGCAGTTACACAAGCCATTTAATCGGGCTCAAAGCTTCATTTAAACTTCATTTAGCTGCATTTTATTTGTGTATATATGCCTTTTACTTCTTTCTGACAGTCAAAAGGCACTTCCGGCACAGGTGCTGGAGAGAGGTGTCGAAGGAGACTATCTAAAACCAGCAATAAACTTCAGAGAAGGGTTTAGACTTACTTTAACACGGCTCGATAAGATACCTTTATTAAATAATCAAACTTATTGCGTCCCCATCCTCTGAAATTTTAGCTTCAGGGTTCTTTTCTTCTTCTTCTTCTAGCACCACTTTTTAAAATTAATTTATAAATCTGCGGCCAATCAGGCAAGATGCTTTTAAATCTTAGACTCTCTTCCATTCTGTTTCTTCTCCTCTGCTCCGCCTCACCTCTTTCTCTGACTCCTACCTCTTTCCTCTTCTCTCAGTGGTCTGTCCCTAAGCTGGCGGGAAAGGGACCCCCTCCAGACAGACAGACAGACACACACACACACTCTCTCTCTCTCACACACACACACACACACACACACCCCACACTCAGGCCGCCTGGTCCTCGAAGGGTCGTCCAGGTGCACCCTTTTGTCTGCTCCACTCCGTGACCATCACTTCACCTCTGCCTGTCTGTCTTGCGCGGGGAGTGTCAGGGAAACTCACCCCACGCAGAGAGCTGCAAGGGGGCTGGGTGGGGGATGTGGAGGCACAGCGGGCGTCTAGCACCCGAGCATCCTTAGCCGCGCCGCGCGTACACACACACACACACACACACACACACACACACACACACACACTGAGCTTCTGTCACCTGTTCACTTTCAACGCCAGCTCTATCTCTAGGTAAAACTTATCCCTCGTCCCAACCCCCACCCGTACCTTCAAGAGTCCACGTACCAGACATCCCGTGCACACCTTTTTCAAAATATCCGGAGGGAGAAAAGTGCATACTGGGGCACACTACAATTACACAGATCCCGAGAACCTCTTCTCGGTTTTACCGCCCCCACTCCACATCTTTTCTGCAATCACACACAGCCTCTTCCTGCCAAAGCGCGCGCACAGCCAGCACCCCTTCCACGCTGACAGCCCAGGCTTGGAGCGTCAGCCTCCAGGGCTCTGCCCCTGGCCGGTCCGTCTGCGAGGCGCCAAGCCCCTAGTACTCTCTCTAACTCCTGCCGTGTGCAGACTGGCCCTACCCGCGCCCTAGGCCCAGCCAGTGCTTAAACTTTTTCTCGCCGTTTCTCTGGCCCCAAAGCATGCCACAACCCGGAGTTCCGACACCCCGGCCCCGATCTTAGACCGCTACAGGGGAATGGAGCGAGAGCCCCTGCTCCCAAGGGCGCCGGGTCTCGCAGTGCCCAGCCCTAACCTGAGCAGGACAGCTCAGGACCCGGCAGGGATGCGAAGGGAGCCGGGGTGGATCCCGCTGGCAGGTGCAACTTGCCAGCGACTCCTGGGCTCACGCCCCTGGGGACGGCGGGTTTGGCCTAATGAGAACAAAGCTGGAGTCCGGGAGACTGTCAGACAGGCGCTAAGACAATAGCAATAAAGGGAACTTGGAAGAGGACTGCTGCGCAAAGTTGTCCGCGAGTCCATATGTCCTGTGATGGGTCTCGGGCTCCAGCTGCAGATCCCCCACCCTCCAGCCCCCGGCCCCGCCGCGGTACACGCAAAATCCCTGCTAGGCAGTGGGTCCCTGGATGCCATGCAAATGCCCCGGTCTCCCAGACGCAGCTTGGGGCTCCCGGGACGCACTGGGCTTGGACAGCAGCCGCCCAGCAGGAAGACCCGCCAGCGCGCTCTCCTGGCTTTACCTTTCGGCGGGCTGCCTGGGAGTCCGCGGCGCGCCGCCCGCTGGCTGTGCCCTCAGCCCCTGCCGCCGCAGCTGAGAACAGACAGCAGGAGCCCGGCTCGCTGCGCCCCGCCCCCGGGCGCCAGGCCCCGCCCCCGGGCTCCACGTCCCGCCTCTCCACGCCGGCCCGCAACCGCGCGGAGCCACGATGGCCCAGTGGGGTTTCCGCGTGAGCTGAGCCGGAGGCGACGGCCGCGGCTGCTACTGCTGCCACTGCTGCTGCTCTGGTTGCTGCCCCTGCCGTCTTCACCGCTGTGGCTGATGCATGCCACAGGCCAACCAGGATGTCCCAAATTGCCAAGGAGTACGGCCGCCCTCCTCCCCAACAAAAGAGACCATTGGAAATGAACTCCAGAATAGGGCTACTCTGTGTTCCGTGCACCTGCAGCATCAGCATCAACTGGGGGCTTGCTAGAAATGCAAATTTCTGGGCCCTACCCCAGATCTAATGAACCTAAATCCCTGGGGATGGGGCCTAGCATGGTGTACTTTAAGAAGCTCTCAGGGAGACTCCAAGCACATTAAAGTTGGACAGACACTGCTGAGAGAACTAAGTAGCTGATGAGATGCATGCTCCCTCAGTCCTGAGACCCACGAGGCCACCCTGGCTAAGGGTTTAACTTGGCAGTGTTTGCGAAGCTCAAGTGTACTTGTCTGCACCCTGGATGTCATTCATCTTGCTTTATTGACTGCGAAGTCTTTAGAGATAAACAGAGGGGGGAATACATTTACTTCTGATCTGACAGCTCTAATGAGCTCAAAGAAGAATTATGTAAACATTATTAAGTGTAATAAACACGTGTCGGCATCAGGCAATCTTCTCTGGAGAAGGCTTGGCAAAAGCTGGAATGAGCCAACGTTTTATTCATAATGTCTTTTTAACTTTATGTTGCCTGTGTAATAGGCCTTTGGCTTTGCTGTTGCCCAGACGGAAAATCATTACCCCAATAATGGATGAGCTAGTTCAAAAGGAGAACCACTGGGATGCTGAGCACTTTCATTCATAAATGCTATGTATCAGGCACAAGGGAAACCATCTTCTGCCAATGTGCCATTTTAATTATCCGACTGGTGTACAGTTTCTTGTTCAACTTCCTAAGGCATCAACTGTAGAAAACAAATAAAAGCAATTCACTTACCATTTTATTTGTAGTAAGTTCTCCTTCTCACTTTTTCCCTCTGTACTTTCCTGAACTTTGGACATTGTTAAATACAGATGTTCCTAGACTTACAACAGGGTTACCTTCTGATAAATCCATTGTAAATTGAGAATATAGAAAATGCATTTAATATAACCTACTGAGAATCGGAGCTTAGCACAGCCTACCTTAAACATGCTCAGAACATTTATAGTCCATAGTCTACAGTGAGGCAGGATCATCTCGTAACATAGCCCACCGTAGAGTATCAGTGGTTGACCCTGGTGGTTGCATGGCTGGCTGCCACTCAGCCTGTCTCTCGAGAGTATCCTACTGCTTTAGAATCATCATAAAGTCACAATATTTAAAAACTATAAGTTGAGCCATCTTAAGTACGGCACTGTCTTTACTGGAGGAATTGAAGATCCATTGCGAGGGAAGAACTTGATGACGCTGCCTTGACCTCCTCTGCTAGCTCTAGAAATTGATTCTGGTTTAGAATGTTTATTTGGAGTAGATGTAGAAGTTTGAAGTCCTGATCCTCCAGAAAGCATTGTCAAAGTCTTGCTCTGGTATCCAGAGCAAGTGAGCCTTCAAAAGACCTCTTCTCTACCACCTTCATGTTCCTGCTTCCTAAAAAATGTCAACCTGTTCTCAGCACCAAAAGCATTACCATTTTAAGTAATGAAAGAAAAACATTATTATCAAGAAAATCAGTCCATCAGAGAATCCAAAACAGTTTGGCTCCTCATCCCAAATTTCAAGAGTAATATGGGAGAGAATACTAGAAACCTGAAACTACATTGCTTACTCTAGAAAGGACATAGAATAGGAACAAAAAGACAAGGAAAGGATGAAGGAAGAAAAGAAGGGAAAGAAGGAGGGAGGAAGAAAGAAGGTAAGAAGGAAGAGAAGGAAGGAGAAGGAGAGTGGAGAAAAAAGGAAGGAAAGGCATATTAACAGCTACTAAGACATTTAAAAATAAAAAGAAAATTGGAAAGAGATGGCAGGATACACGGAGGGCAATGTGGCAGGGAGCTTCATGCTTATCCAACTGTATGTCAAGAGTAAGTTTCTTAGATCAGTCTCTAAAGGAACAGACCCTGAGTAAGGATTCAAGTGATTTATTAAGAAAGTGCTCACAGGAGAAATCAGTAAGGATATTGGGGAAAGTGGCAGAGGCAGCAGAACAGGAAAAGAGAAGACGCTGAACAAGGGTCCAAAAGTCCCACAGCAGTGAACAGGGCTTGGCTTGATTCTGTAGGGAACCTCTGGAGTTTAAGTTAAGCCTCTAAATTGCCCTACACAGAATGAAGAGAGCTAGGCAGTTTATTGGTAAACAGCCTCCCAGGGGAAATAAACTTCTTGGCACTTCTGTAGGCTCCAGTAGCTTGAGAGCAGTCCTTCAGAGAAAAGGCAAAGTTGCTAGTCATTGAAAGCAAGGGAATTTAGAAATTTGGGGAGGTGGGATGTCACACAAAAAAATAGTAAAAAGAATTGTGAAGTATGTGAGCTGATTCTCAACTTTGTCTACTTCAGTGGGGGAATTAAGGAGGCTTGGAAAATGTGGAGTCATGTCAAAGCACTAAGATGTAGACCAGCTCTCCAGTGTCCTCATAACCTTGTGACCCACGTGAGCCAGCATTTGGATACCTGGCATAAGAATGTATGGACAACCAGTCGCTCTTAGCCAAAGAATTCATAACAACTCACCCAAGTGCAGATAAATAGTAGGAATTTGCCCTTCTTTCTCTTTTCTCATTCCTGTCTCTAAGACCAGAGGAAAGGGGAGTTCTGCCTTGAAAATGGAAGGAAAAGGTATATCAAAACCAAGCCTCGGTTATCCTTGAATCCTTTGTGCTGATTTGAAAAGAGGAGTAAGAACAAACTCGTTTTCGTCTCAACAAAGTCTCCTTAAGCTCAAGGCTGGTCCATGATCAGGAAAAGAGAGCTCTGAATTGGAGACAAAACTGGAAATTCAAATTTAAAACGTAATGGGTTTTTAACAGTTGAAACTGAGTAACTGCAAGTTAACCAGAAATTACGATAGCTACCAAAGGTCTCGCTAAGGGGTCTTCTACCCGATGGAAAAGGGGAAAATTGACATAATGCATTTGAGACCGTGGTTTGAGAAAAACATAATAGTTTCATGTTTATACTTCAGTTTGTACAATAAGTTAGTTATATTTGAAATTGTTTGCTCCTGGCTGCCTCCCATGATATGTCCTCAAGTAACTTTTCCTACCTTAGGTGAGCCTCCACACCAATGTTTACTGGGATAGCTGTGGCCTGGCATGGCTAGTCCTGCCCAACCATGTGCCCTGAAATATGGAAAATATTAGCACAGCACAAAGGAAAAGCTATCATATAACTATATGTGGTTAAATGCCACATATAAGTCGAATTATTTTGCTTTATTTTGAGGAAAATGACTAGCCTAGAAATACTCATAGAATAGGTTCTTCTCACTCTTCATTTGTAATTTCCTTCAAAATATCTATTTAAATAAGTTGCTTTTTTATTTTGGTTGGAACATGTGGCCCTGGGAATATGCACGTTGGTTCAACACTTTAGGAAACTGTTTCTATCATTAATTGACAGCTGATTTGGATGATAATCTGAAGGTAAGAGAATCTGGCTTTGAAGATATTGTCATTTTGTCACCATACAGATGTCAGGAGCCCAGTGTTCATTTTCACCAGTGTTTGGAATGCTCTGTTCTGTCTCAGTTGGAGATTCCAGCTCAAGTTTTCTATCTCTTCCTCCATCCTGTCTGGCACTTCCTAACCTGCCCTCTTGTTAGATTCTATTCCCAGACTTCACGTACTCCATTTCCCACTTGGACCATGAGTCTAAGATAAGATACACAGTACATCCTGTGCTGAAACAGAGTGTGTGATAAATATGATTCATTAAACACAGTGTACATCAATTTCAGGTCAGGGTAGAAAATATACAGCACAATGAACGGTCTATAGTTTGAGATTCAAGGAAGTGCAGTCGTCCCATGGAGGGTATTCAGTGGCATTATCAATCATGGAAGTAAAAGTGGAATGGTTTGTGGTTTGCTGGAATGTCATAAAGATGTTTTCCACTTCTATTCTCACTCCCCCACAAACTCTCACCTGATTTCCTTGATGATCATAAAATCAATCTACCACCTGTGACTAATTCACAATTACCCTATCTCCCTATTGATATCACTTTTTAGGGCATCAGTTACAGTCATATTATTATCCAAGAGAAGCTTTTCAAAAATAACTTAATAGAGGTTGTCAAAACTTATTCACTGACCATAGCCTTAGAATTCAACATCTTGGAAGGGAGTTGATCTTCTGATTTCCCAAAGACTAGAATTTCTTTGAAAAATATTCTAAGATCTGACTCTAACTGCTCACTGAAAAAAAAAAAAAAAAAAACTTTTCCCTGCCACTTTATATCTTAAAGTCTCAGTTTTCAGGAAATTAATATCGGTGATAGGGGAAATGTGAATATACTGAGAAAATCAGAATTTATGGAGGATATACAATGTGCTTAATACAATTGACTCATGAAATTTCATATTCATAAATATTCTTGATTAATCTTTCTGAACTAAATAGTTGTTTTGGAAGAGAAATTTTCAAATGTAAACTCATATTTCATGTAAAAATAAATTATTATGATCAATTAAAACATGTAGGTAATATTCCAAGTTGCAGTATTAGCATAATAAAATATGTGTTTGTGTAAAACATCCAAAGATTTACTTAGCACAAAGAAAGATCTTTATCTATTTTTTTGGCTTTTAAGAAAATTGTGAAATTAAGTCAACCTCAATTAAAACAAAAAGATATATATGAAAATTTCATCAAATTTCTATAAATTGTGTACTAGTTGCATAGCTGATTTCTATTACAGTTATAGAGACGACGTAACTTCGGTCTAAAAGGCTGTATTCAAAAGCTCATGCTTCCACTTTAAGTATCTTTTCTCCCTTCTTCACAGCCTCTCAGACATCTGTCTTCAACCAAATCAAATCTCCATGTGAAGTACTTAATGCTCTGTAAAATCGACACACAAATACACTTTGGCATTCACTAATTTACATAACCTTAGGAGTAAATTCCATCACATATCTACAGGGATTCTGAAGTAGGTATATATGTCAACATGTGTATCCATAGGACAATATTCTTGATTTTATATAAAGTTTTGATTAAATAATTCACATCTTAAAATTAGAAATGAAGGAAGGTCATCTTCAATGTAATGTTCACTGACTGCTCACTGCCTACTAGGTACTGTTATCATAAAGATGAACAAGACACAGCCCTCCCAGCCCACTGTAGATTTAGGGCCATAACTGCAGATTGCATAAACTCTTACATAAATGAAGCTGGAAATTCTTTGCAATTGGCGTATTCCAAAACACTACACATTTTTTCTTTACATTCACAATTATAATAAGATTTTCTCATAGATGAACTTTAAAACTATAGCAGTAGTTTGCCAAAAAAATAATCCTTTGGGAATTTTAATTAAAATTTTATGTATCAATATGATACATAGGACAGTTGTGGAATTTAAATCTTGTTTTAATTTTTTAAGTTCCTATTTTTCACTAGAAAGATTCAGTATCCCCCTTCTTTTGCTCTAGTGATTTGGAGGTTATAACATTCAATTTTTACTCTATGTTGCTAAATAACATTTTGAACTACATTTCATTAACTTTATTAGGAATTAAACATCTTTATTAAACTATTTGTGGGAGATAATAATTTTGTATGTCTTTATCTTCTTCCCTCCAAAGTATCCCCAATAAAAATTTAAAAATAAAGAAATATGACATCCAGATATATACTATTATTTGTTTTTGAATTCTGTGCATGTTCTTCCAAGAAGTGTATTTAACATCTCTCTCAGGTTTAAGAATCATACACATAAGGTACTAGTTAATTCTGGTGCTACTATGCATACCAACTAGAATTGAACAATTAAGTAAATCTTAGATTGGCAGATTGTAAGAGATAGGTTTCTCACGGTTGCAGTGGGAGGTAACAGATAAGCAAAGAGGGGAGCTACAAGAATCCATGAGGTAATGGATTACAGTAAAAAAAATCTGTATAAACTCATGTTTAGCTTAATATACAGAGATGGTTACATATAGAAATATTTATAGACATGTCGATATATACTGTTTAGTATATACATGTATATGTTCTTGGTCTGTCAAATCAGTGGGCCTAGAAGCAAAGACACCCCAGTAGCAGTGAACACACTTAGTGCCCAGATCTTGGTTTCTAATACCATTCTCCAATAAACAGAACCAAGGCTTCTTGGAGAAATGACCGATTCTAGCTTTGGGACAGGAAATGTTAATAATTATCAAAATAACTAATATTTATGAAATCACTCTCTGTTCCTGTAAATGAGCTATGTATTTTATATGTATTTTTTTTGTTTTCCTTTAACACTCACAAAAGTGGCCAAAGCATGTAATCCCAACACTTTGGAAGTCTGAGGTGGGAGGATCACCTTCAGCCAGTAAGACCAACCTGGGCAATATAGTGAC